GAACTGTTAAAAAAACAAAAAAAAACCTCCTCTAATCATGTGACGAACTATGCATCACACTGATAACGCCAAACCTGCATATTTGCATCATACAGGTGCTGGTCATAAAATTAGAATATCATGAAAAAGTAGATTGATTTCAGTAATTCCATTTAAAAAGTGAAACTTGTATATTATATTCATACATTACATACAAACTCATATATTTCAGATGTTTATTTTGTTTAATTTTGATGATTACAAATGACAACAAATGAAAATCTCAAATTCATCATATCAGAAAATTAGAATATTACTGAAGACCAATAAAAACAAAGGATTTATAGAAATGTTGGCCAACTGAAAAGTATGAACATGAAAAGTATGAGCATGTACAGCACTCAGTATTTAGTTGGGCCTCCTTTGGCCTGTATTACTGCAGCAATGCGGTGTGGCATGGAGTCGATCAGTCTGTGGCACTGCTCAGGTGTTATGATAGCCCAGGTTGCTCTAATAGTGGCTTTTAGCTCTTCTGAATTGTTGGGTCTGGTGTATTGCATCTTCTTCTTCACAATACCCCATAGATTTTCTATGGGGTTAAGGTCAGGAGAGTTTGCTGGCCAATTAAGAACAGGGATACCATGGTCCTTCAACCAGGTACTGGTAGCTTTGGCACTGTGTGCAGGTGCCAAGTCCTGTTGGAAAATGAAATCTGCATCTCCAAAAAGTTGGTCAGCTGCAGGAAGCATGAAGTGCTCTAAAACTTCCTGGTATGTGGCTGCGTTGACCCTGGACCTCAGAAAACACAATGGACCAACACCAGCAGATGACATGGCACCCCAAACCATCACTGACTGTGGAAACTTTACACTGGACTTCAAGCAACGTGGATGAAGTGCCTCTCTTCTTTTCCTCCAGACTCTGGGACCTTGATTTCCAAAGGAAATGCAAAATTTACTTTCATCAGAGAACATGACTTTGGACCACTCACCAGCAGTCCAGTCCTGTTTCTCTTTAGCCCAGGCAAGACGCTTCTGACGCTGTCTGTGGTTCAAGAGTGGCTTGACAGAAGGAATGCGACAGCAGAAACCCATGTCTTTCATACGTCTGTGTGTGGTGGTTCTTGAAGCACTCACTCCAGCTGCAGTCCACTCTTTGTGAATCTCCCCCACATTTTTGAAGGGGTTTTGTTTCACAATCCTCTCCAGGGTGCGGTTATCTCTCTTGCTTGTACACTTTTTTCGACCACATCTTTTCCTTCCCTTCGCCTCTCTATTAATGTGCTTGGACACTGAGCTCTGTGAACAGCCAGCCTCTTTAGCGATGACCTTTTGTGTCTTGCCCTCCTTGTGCAAGGTGTCGATGGTCGTCTTTTGGACAACTGTCAAGTCAGCAGTCTTCCCCATGATTGTGTAGCCTATAGAACTAGACTGAAAGACCATTTAAAGGCTTTTGCAGGTGGTTTGAGTTAATTAGCTGATTAGAGTGTGGCACCAGGGGCCATCAATTTTGAACCTTTTCACAATATTCTAATTTTCTGATATGATGAATTTGAGATTTTCATTTGTTGTCATTTGTAATCATCAAAATTAAACAAAATAAACATCTGAAATATATGAGTTTGTATGTAATGTATGAATATAATATACAAGTTTCACTTTTTAAATGGAATTACTGAAATCAATCTACTTTTTCATGATATTCTAATTTTATGACCAGCACCTGTATAAATGCTCTGAACTTCTATATCAATGTGTTTTCTGCACCATATTTTTTCTCCCACACTGTTTACATTTCATCACTGCTCAACTTTATGGAATGAAAAATGTTCATGTACTGTCTGAAAAGCTGTACTAAACAAAATTTCGTTTTGAATACACTCTGAAAAGTTGTCTAAGTGTAAGCCTAAGAAACTGGTTTTGAGTGCTTATAACCTAAATAAGACCAATAAAACTGTTAAGACAGAACTCTACCCTCAAAACAATCAATGTAATAAAACTCAGTCAATGGCTCCCAGTCGGCACAAAGGCCAAAGTCTTCCAGCACACTTCAGGAGGTTTCAGCCTATTGTCGTAGGTCAGCAGAGGCAGATGGTCACTTGGGGCCTTTCTCTACGTAGTCAGCTGTGTGAAGGAATGCCTCGGCACCCCATGGATGGCCAGCTGGAGTGAGGTCACCATCTGCTGCCTAAAGGTTACTTATGTAAAAAAATGCATTGAACTCTTTGTATAAAAACCCAACCCTTTTGTTGTAGCACTGAAATAAATATTGCTGCAAAAATCCTGAAAAAGAGCTTAAATTAGTTACAGCTTAGTATTTTTTTTCTGAATAAGCTAAAGAAAAAGGTGCAAAAATAAATCAAACTTTTTCTTCCCAGCTTTTTTATTGTCATTAGAATGTCACAAGTACAGAGCAATGGAATTCACTCAGTGCTGCAAATACCAAAAAGAAGCTCTGCAAGATTGTTCAATCCACCACATTTTTTTTTTCAATTTTAAGTCTTTATTGTTGTAGAGTATCCCTGACAAGTAGAATAAAAGTTAAATAATCTTGAAGAAATGTAATAAGGCATTGTGATTTCCTCTTTAGCACAAATGTAACAGAAATGTTTGGAAAAAAAGAGTCAGAACACTTAAATGTACTATATCGTATTGAGGCATTGCCAAATTTTTAGGGAGCAGCTTGAAAAATTTTCAAGTACAATATTTTAAGTTACAACATCTGAAGTAATGCAACATCATTGCTCAGGTTACAAGGTGAACTATTCATAATGATTATCAATGTCATATATTAAAAGAATTAAAGAGGTAAAAATACACATTAAGTTTGTTCTTATATATATATAAATTCAACATATGTTGCAGACTTAAGTAAAGTCACAAAAACAAATAAAAAATCTTAAATGGAAAGAGTGGCTCCTTCCTGCACTAGTGTAAGAAAATAAATGTGACATTTAGAAAAAAAAGAAGAAGGAAAAACTTAGGAGTTACGGCAATTTAGTTTATTTTGCAATTATTGTAAAAAAAAAAAAAAAAAAGAATTTAGGAGAGGGTAGGTAGGGTTTCAAGCTTTTTATAAAAGTTGTTAATAAGTTGTTTTCGGTTTCCTTTAAGGAGCTTACAAGATTTATCAGCATCATGTTTTGCAACAAAAAGGAAAAAAAAAGGTAACTTTCTGATAACAGTGTGAAAAATACAACATCGGCTCTAGTTGCACATGTACAATAATAGTGTGGACTGTTTACATTTTTGCATTTCGTCACTGTCAGCGACATCAGAATCATTCCAGGGACCAAAGGTGTGGTTGTAACCTGAACCTCACTGTGCCCTTATTTCAGCAATACGGCAAACTTTTAAACCCACCTGAAACCTTATGAGAAATGTAAAAACCAAAGCAAGACTCTTTGCTGACAGAAAAATTTGCTGCCAAAAAGCCGTTTTTGAATGTGGGGTCATTTAATTCCATTAAAGTGGTAGGGGAGTCATATTTGAATGTCAAATCATTCTGGGATAAACATGTACGTATATAAATGTACTCTTAATCAGACTATATTGTCCCAAAATTTCAATTAAATAAAAAATCCTGTCTTTAAATCTGTTTTTTTCCCCTCATTATTTTATACGTCAGCTTGTGCACCTAAATTCGGCCAATCATATATCAACAATCATCTGTCAATCTAATTTTTTCAGGCATAGCATCTTGATTCCTATGTCGCAGCTAATATACGCAACAGTTGAAATAAGAAATAAGAATCCTTTACTTTACCATTGGGTTACATCCCAGTGTTCAAGGGGATGGACGTCTGTGTCTTCGGCAGGCGTATAGCTAACAGAACTGGCAGTGTTGCGAGGCAAGGGCTCAAACATGTACGGCTGTAAGCCTTCTACACCAAACCAAGCTTCTGCTGCCCTGGCGTCCTCTTCCACAAAATCTTTGTCCCCGCTTTCCTCCTCTAAATAGAAAATGTATGATGGAGGAGACACATCCACGACCTCAAACACTAAACTCTCCTCCTCTTGCATGTTTCCGCTGTCCATAGTGTTCCTTGAAAGTGTCATTTCTAAGTCACTAATTTAGTACTACTTGGTCCCTATGTAATTTCCCATTGGGAACCTACTAGCACTAAGTTGCTAACTAGTTAACAAGATGCTTCAGAGACACCGGCCACAACCATACTTGCTTGCGAACCTTCCGCAAACAACAATCCCGCCCCCTTGATAAACGACCAATCACATTCACTTTATTCACTCGTATAAAGTTCTCCCAGAGCTGTCTCTTTATTGAACTCTAATCCTCACTGATAGACTCTCCTCTCCCTCCTTACACCTACCTCCATTTTGTTATTCTGTTATTTACAAGACCGTAATGTTCAACTGCACTCCTGACTGTTACTATTGTAACAACTGTTTACATGCATCTTGCACTACTCACCTTGACTGAATATTGATTTGAACTGCCAACTGCTTATTCACAGTACCAATTGTTTACATATACATTTGCAATACCGTACTTTAACTGTAGTATGCAATTACCTTCCACTGCACTTTAATTCAGATAGTTTCTGTCCAAACTTTATTTATTCATTTTATAGTAAAAGCCATCTGTATATTATGCTCATAATTCTGCCTATAGTAATAGCCATCTTTACAATATTCATAGTACATATTCACCTGCAAACTCTGTTATAATAACATTATGCTATTGTACATATCTATAAAAACCCGATTTAGAGTAATATCCACCTGTATATTATATTCGGTACATATCCAGCTGTAAATTTAGTTCATAACACTAGTTATCTATATATTATATTCATAGGACAAATCTATCAGTAAAATTCTGTTTATAATGGTATTCATCTCTATATTTATTCAGTAGAAATCCATGTCCTGTACTTATGGAACCATTATTTATCCTGCACTTGCTGCTATTGCACTTCTGGTTAGACCTAAACTGCATTTCGTTGCCTTGTACCTGTACCTGTGTAATGACAATAAAGTTAAATCTAATCCAATCTAATCTAATCTAATCTAATCTAATCTAATCTAATCTAATCTAATCTAATCTAAAGTCGGGCACCACTCAGGAGAAATCGGAAATAAAAGAGTTGGAACAGCCCCTTCCCTTCGATTTTAAATACCATTTAATGTTATTTTAAAACTCTAAAAGATAGAGATAATTTAAATAAAGATTAGAGATTCAATCTGAGACAATAAATATATCAAAATTGGACCTTGGAAATAAAAACTGCTCAGCAAACATGACTTGATAGAAACTGCTATCTTGCATTTATCCCAGATGTTTATCCTGACTTATGCTACACATCCTGGTGAAGGTTTGTTCTAAAAAAACCAAACCTCATGATGTCATGTCAGTATTTCAGAATGCAGCTGTAGTTACATGTGTCCATCGTAGACTGAAGAGTCTATTCAGTGTGTGTTTACCCGTCATAAACAGATAAGCAAACACCGTGAAGGCTGTGAGGATGTCTAGTTTCAAGTTTCACCAGCTCTCATCCTGACTGGCAGTGGAGTTGAGTGGAGGGTTGGGGCACTGCATAGTGCTGGTGTTGTTGGAGAAGGATGAAGGCGACAGCTGGTCATTACTTGGCAAGCTGTCCTGACTAGGGAGAACATTACTGGTTCGTCTGAGCCGAGGTCTCAGCTTGCTTCTAATTTCACCACCAGTGACATCCCTCTGGTCCAGCAGGAAGGTGAGGGACTCTGCAATGCGGCTCAGTGTTTGGTCCATGTGTGTTATCTATGAGAGTTCCAACACATGAGGATACATTTAAATACTTTTAATTTCCTTAGAGGTTTTTTTTTAGAGGGGTATCTTCTTGGTAAATCCTGTCAGAAGATTACATACTTTAATATTGGAAGCAAATGTCATACTACTATTTTGACACACACCTTTTCCCAGTAGGGAAGTAATAAACAATATACAAATTTAGAAGTTAAGAATCTGCCAACTGTTCACTGAAATCAATAAAAAAAGATTGCCAGAACAGTAAAAGCATCTTCTAACAGTAAAACAAGATTAGTAAAACATCTGCTGACTGTATCTCTCTCAAATGTATTTAAAGGGCAAATAGATGAAATATGTCATTCAACAAAGCACTTTCGAAAAACATACCAGGAACCAATTTCTCTAACCTAGAGCTTAAATTATTTGTTTTAGAATCTTTTGTATCACAACTGCTGAAACGGGGAAACGGAGCATCACAACCAATGCTGGAAACTGAACAGTACTGGAAAGAGATATGGGAGAAGGAGCTCTGACAGATGACCACAGCAACCTCCCCGAATAGAATCCAGTCAACATCACAGTGGCAGACATCAAAGAAAGAGTCTCAGGTATTAAAAAACTGGACAGCACCAGGCCCTGACATGCCTACTGGCTTAAGGAACTCATGGCTCTCCACGAACACTTGGCAGCACAAATGAACCAGCTACTGAGAGATGGGAACCACCCTGAATGACTAACCGAAGGGTGCACAATCCTGATCCTGAAGGAGCCCTCAAAGGGCACAGTCCCATCTGACTATCGGCCCATAACCTGCCTCTCCACAACGTGGAAGCTCATGTCCGGGATCATAGCGGCTAAGATAAGTGGGCACATGGATCAATACATGAGCAGAGCTCAAAAGCGAAATAGAAAAAATACCAGAGGTGCCAAACACCAACTCCTGGTAGATAGAACAGTTGCTCAAGACTGCAGAACCCAAAACACTAACATAAGCGCTGCCTGGATTGATTACATGAAATCTTACTACTCAACACCGCATACTTGGATCATTGAATGCTTTGAGCTATACAACATCAACAGGACTCTAAGAACCTTTATTACAAACTCAATGAGGTTGTGGCAAGATACTTGCTCAAGTCTCCATCAAATGTGGAATATATCAAGGAGATGCGCTGTCCCCACTGCTGTTCTGCATAGGTCTGAACCCCCTCAGCCAAATTATCAACAAGACTGGCTACGGGTACCGACTCAGGAACAGGGCTACCATCAGTCAACTCCTCTACATGGATAACATCAAGCTGTATGCTAAAAATGAGCGAGACATTGACTCACTGATCAATACCACCTGGATCTTCAGCAAAGACATTGGGATGTCGTTCGGACTGAGGAAGTGTGGTCGGATGGTAACCAAGAGAGGGAAGGTAGTTCACACAGAGGGGGTCTCACTCCCAGAAGGAAAAATAGCAGACAATGAAGACAGCTAAAAGTACCTTGTAATCCCACAAGCAAATGGCAACCTCAAAGAGGTAACAAGGAAAGTGGCTATGGCCAAATACCTCCAACGAATAAGAGTAAGGCAGGTCCTAAGGAGCCAGCTCAATGGCAAGAATAAGTCTCGGGCAATAAATAGCTACGCTCTACCAGTAATAAGATAACCTGCAGGAATAATAAGCTGGCCAAAGGAGGAGGAACAGGCCACAGGCGTTAAGACACGAAAGCTCCTAACCATGCACGGAGGGTACCACCCCAAATCCAGTACCCTGAGACTGTACGCCAGCTGTAAGGAACGAGGCAGAGGACTAATGAGCGTAAGAGCCAATATCCAGGATAAAACATTCAAGATCCATAAGTACATCAAGGACAAGGCTCCAACAGACGACATCCTCACTGAATGTCTCAAACAATGGGGAACAGAAGATAAGGTGCCAGAGATTCCGTCATGGGAGGATAGGCCTCAACACGGGATGTACCACTAGAACATAATTGAAGTGGCAGATATCAGAAAATCTTACCAATGTCTAGACAAAGCCAGACTGAAGGACAGCACAGAGGCACTCATCATGCCTGCACAGGAGCAGGCCCAAAGCACCAGAGCAAAAGAGGCCCAGATCTACCACACCAGACAAAGCCGCAGGTGCAGACTGTGCAAAGAGGCCCCTGAGACAATCCAGCACATAACTGCAGGGTGTAAGATATTGGCAGGGAAAGCTTACATGGAGCGCCATAATCAAGTGGCTGGAATAGTATACAGGAACATCAGTGCTGAGTATGGGCTGGAAACCCCAAGGTCAAAGAGGGGAAATGCCTCCAAAGGTGGTTGAGAATGATTAAGCCAAGATCCTATGGGACTTCCAAATACAGACGGATTGAATGGTCATGGCAAACCAACCAGACATTGTGGTGGTGGACAAGAAGCAGAGGAAAGCCATTGTGGTTAACATAGCAATACCATATGACAGCAACATTAGGGAAAAATAACAAGAAACCAGAGAAATACCAGGGGCTCAGAGATGAGCTGGAGAGAACCTGGAAGGTCAAGGCATCAGTGGTATCCGTGGTCATTGGGGCACTCAGGGCAGTGACCCCCAAACTTGAAGAGTGGTCACAGCAGATCCCTGGAAATTCATCAGACACCTCGGTCTAGAAGAGTGCAGTTCTAGAAACAACAAAGATACTGCGCAGAACCCTCAAACTCCCAGACCTCTGGTAGAGGACCAGAGCTTAGAGGAAAAAAAGGGGGGAAGACTGCCCCCGATGGGTGCGGAAGAGTTTATATATATATATATAAACTGTACATATATGTATATATATTTATACACATATATGTACATACTGTATATACACACATATATATGCATATATATGTATATATATGTGGGGCGACAGTGGTGTTGGATGTAGGAGTTTGCCCTGAAATCAAAGGATTGACGGTTCAAGCCCCGGCTCTGACTTTCAGTGTCGTTGTGTCCTTGGGCAAGACACTTAACCTGCATTGTCTACTGATGGTGGTCAGAGGGCCCGGTGGCGCCAGTGTACGGCAGCCGCGCTTCTGTCAGTGAGCCCCAGGGCAGCTGTGGCTACAATGTAGCTTGCCACCATCAGTGTGTGAGTGTGTGCGTAAATGGGTGAATGAATGTAGTGTAAAGCGCTTTGGTCAAGTCTCCTGACTTGAAAAAAGGCGCTATATAAGTACATGCCATTTACCATTTACCATATATAAACATGTATACTGTATACATACATATATATGTATATACAAACATATATACTGTACACATATGTGTGTGTTACTTCATAGTAAAATGTAAAAATGTGTAAAGTGTGTAAAAATGTTTAAAGTTTGGTTCCTGCACTGCTGCTTCTTGCTTCATTTCTCCCTTTTCACCTACATTCATTCATACCAGTATATCAGTCAATAAAAACAATTTCTTTATGGAAGTCAAACTCCTGTGGTATTTTCTGGCAGTATCGACAGACTATTTGAAAAGCATGCTGGACCTGTACTTATCCACTCGCTACTGATTCTCTGTTATATGGCTGAATGCTGACTATATTCTGCGGTACAGTTCATGCCACACGTCAGAGCAGTAACCAGAATTTTTTGAACACTTACAACAGTATTAATTTAAATTGCTATTTTAACTAATATTGGCTTCGAAATTTTTTTCACTTGGCCTGTAACCGTTGATAATGTCAATATGCTGTTAACATTCTCCTTAATGGATATTTCCCAGCTGTTCTTTCATAGAAGCTTAAAACCTGTGAATATGAGTTTTTTTTTCTTTTAACAAATAAAAGGAAAATCAAAAATGAAAATGCAATTTTAATGAAGAGTGTTCATGTCTAATGATAGTTCCCACCTTGTCCTCCATTCTGTTGAGCCTGGATCCAATAGAGTTGTTTCCTTTATCTCTGGCTCGGTCTTTAGAGGTTGACATTAGACAGTGACATTTCAAATAGACCATTAGGTGCAGTGTTTGCTTTACAGTTTATCTCATCCATTTCAAGGTAGAACTGGAGTGATTTATTACCTGAACCCGTCTGGAACAAAGTCATCTTCCCTAAAGACTGATCTAGCCTGAGAGAAACAAAAGAGGGCCCAGGTCAGAAGAATATTTATAGATTCCTTGTGGTTCATCTGTCATATTTCCTCTTTTCTGATCTGCAAAACATGTTGACAGAGGAATAGGGAACCTTTCTCAATATACTTGCAAATTATATAAATTATAAGCACTTTCATATAAGCCCTTTACTGTACTCCTGGGTGCTAATGTATTAAACATCTTTTAAATCATATTGTACTGCAAGAGTATACCTTCTCTGTAGCTCCTTGATTCGAACCATGAGGTTGAGGTGACCCTGAGAATACTGCTCAATTACATCTCGAACATCATATGGCTTACGGGCTTGCTAAAAAAAAAAAAAAGATAATTAGTTCATTAATATTTAAGTGAGACTTAAGACCTTTGTTCTGCAGACATATCTAATTTTTCTAAAGAATGAAAGCAATGCAAAGTTTTTTTAATCTTCTTTGTGCTATTGTTACTTCTAAATATCTGCTGCTGAGACTGGTGCACATTTGCTTCATTGGGGATATCCACAACCAACACACCAAAGCTTAATTCTGTACACAGCAATTTCAATCAGTTTTCCTTTAATTGGCCAATATGGAGAAACCCCTATAGGAGTTTGCTGCTTATGAGTTTTTGTCATAAGACAAATGCAAGTCAACTAATAGTGGGTGTGGGTGACCTGTAAGGATGTTCTTTAGATCCTGGATAAGGTTAATAAATATACATCTGTAACTGAGGTTTAAATATGCTGAAATTACATGTTTGCAGGTGTGGCGGCAAGGCACTGGAAAACTACCGTATGTAAAATAACAATTAATGAAGTCTTGTTTAGTTCAACTCTCATATGAGTAATTTCAAAAACTACCTGCGCTTTCAATTACTAATGCTTTATACAGAGGTAATTTTCAGTTTTAAAGTATATATGCTAGGTACTGCTTCACTGCTTTGTGTGGTAAAATAAAAATTTAAAAAAGCAAAAACCTATGATATAATGTAATACTGTCTAAAAATGTGCCACTGGTATTTCATAAAATATTTTAATGATAGAGTTTGAGTTAATTTGCTGGCCTTGTATCTACATACAGAAGCTGGTTAAGGAGGTGGACATTGGTGTTCAGCACAAGTCAAAGGGATGGACCATTTATTACATTTATTTATTATATTTATATATTATATATTTATATTTATTACTTAGTTAGAAACCAAAAAACTACACACTAACCCTTCCCGAGCAATATCTATAACAAAAAAAATTATCTGCCTTTGTTCTAGTCTATCCCTAAGTAATCTATATTAATAATATATCTCCAAACCAGTTTTGACAAAAGTCATTTGAACATTTTCTTAAAAGTGGCCTAGTCACATTACATGTCATACACACATATGCATATATATAAATATACACACATACATAATATATATATAAATATACACACATACATAAAATATATATATATATATATATATATATATATATATATATATATATATATATATATATATATATATATATATATATATATATATTAATCTGCAAATAAACCAATATACGCCACCTGATAGTGTTTACTTTGTCATTTTTGAGTAGCAAAAATCTTTTTCCACCTAGCCGCTGACAAAAACATCGGTGTATGTTGTCATCTGCTGGCAAAAGATACTAAATTATGCATCAATAACCTTGACAGCTTCAGAGCTTTAGCTGCAGCTTCAGTAAAGACCAATGTTCTTTCATTATATTCTGAATACTACTCATTTCTGACCCATCTCGGCATCCAATATCTTTACACACTTTTGCACACTTCATAATTGACTTTTCCTCTTTTTTTCATACTGCCACTGGGGAAATGCTAAGTTGCCTGACTCTATTCCTTTATTTTTTGTCATTGTGTATATGTGCAACTCTATTACGTGCATGTGCAATGTTTTATTTTCTTTCAATTCACAAAATGCTTAAGTTTCCTCACAAAAAGACCCCAAAATTTTAAACATATTCAATAAAACAAATATAATAAGCTCCTAAGGTGCCATAATTTAATTGGAAAGTCTTTGTATGTGACCAAAGTAAGCTACTGTCAAAAAAATTCAGACTCACAGCACGGCTAGGCCCCTTCAGCAACACCAAAGCTTAATGTATTTACTTTCTTACATCTTTTTATATTTATTAAAAGTGATCACATTTAGATGCAGGTCAGGGGTTTAGTTAGTAATCCACAAGCTTACCTCACTCTTATTTTATTTATTATTTTTCATTTTGTATTATTTTTTGTTACTGATTGCTTTAGGCATTCATTAAAAAACTCTGTATAACTTTCAGGGCCATGTAGACAATCTACTTTCTATATAACAGCATAAAGCAACATACCTCAGTTTGAGCCCTTAGGTCTCTATGTTTTCATGTAAACGTCTGTATTAGTTGAAAAGCTTAATGTCTTCTTTAATATTTATGTTTTCTTCATGTCTATCCTCTCTATTGAAGGGCTTTGTCATGTTTATTAGAATAAAGAGAACAGGGTTAACATTTACCTACTGGCTTAATAGAGGGTTGGCTGTGGCAAAAACTACTTTTATCCTTCTACTTTGTTCAATCGTGATAGAAAAAAAGTTTTCAATTTAATAGCTAAAAAAAAGCATAATAAAGTAATTGAAAAAAATGTGCTCTTACCTGAAAATTTCTTTTGGCCACAAAGTAACGCATTTTCTGTATCACACGGATGGCTTTTCGATGCGACTCTGTCAAACTGTGACAAAAAGGTTTTCTTTTTTAAGAGGTTTTGCTTCTTAGTTCGTATATCACAAACTTTCTCAGTAGATGCATCACACTAATATTTCCTGCAAAGAACATGAAATTAAACCATGGCCTTCTGTGCCTTTCTTAGATATTTGTTTCAGTGTAATAGGTATCAGGAAAAAGCCCAAAGAAAATATGAACCAAAATATGAAGCATGCTCTTCTTGCCTGTGCAGTCTACATCAAAGCTTCTACCTCATTACCTAGCTTCCTTTTAGCGTTACCAAGGTGATGAACAGTAAGAACAAAGGTGGGTGAAAAATAGGAAAAAGCCCATAGTGATTGTAAGGCAGTTAGCCGGCATTATTAGGTTTCAGGATTTTTTTTTAACTTATTCTTATAGAGGTTCATTACTGTGAAAAAGCAGGGAATATGAATGTCTGGTGGGAAGGCAGCGAGTCATGTTTGCTGTGGAACAAAGTCTGTAAGAGTCTCATTGTGGACCTCTCAAAGGCTGATTTTTCTGATCTGGCTATCATAACAAGTGGTCAAATTAACACAATGAAATGTCAATTATTTGATCTCTGGGCTATTATAGAAATCATTTCAATAATAAAAGGAAAATGGTTTAGTGATATAACCAAAGCCCAGACAGTGCATCACGTTTTCTATTAATTTCATCGGCAGATATTGAAATGCTCTCAAAATGAAGTTTGAATAGTTGAGACGTTTATAATATTAATGAATGTTGCTATATGAAAGTATTAAAAGAAAATTAAGGACATCATGATCGTCATCATCAGGAACTTTTATTATTATTATGTAAAATGGATCTGATAAGCTTGCAGAGTTAATTTTAACAGAAGGCAAGCTAAAATGCTGAAATCTTGTGATTAAATTGTAAAATAAAAGAGTAACAGTTTTTGTATCTGTTGTTTAATGTTTGACCATGGACATGTTTTTGTATTGTCATTATATAGTCTGTAATTACAGTCTAATCAAATTTAGTCAGAAGTGTTTATCCCACATTATTATTTCTGTGGAATAAACACATATTTCTGCTTTTTCAGATGGTATTTAGTCAGTTAAACTTGGAGGACTTTCAAAATAAGATTAATTCTATTTAGAATTCAATCATTTACATCCTTACAATCAGTTTTTTCATCCTCAGTAAGTGAGGCAGCATTGGCAGTAACTAAAGAACATGAACTGTGTTAGTATTGGATTTTGATACAGTTAAGTTTTCATAGTTATGAAAATTAAAATCTTCATCCAAGCCTTCACTTTGTATGTTACATCCAATTCAGTCGGGATTTAGGGCTCATTGTTATACTTAAACAGCTCTGGTGAAAGTCACTGATGATATCCCTCATGGCCACAGAAAACTGACTTGTATCTGTACTTGTCCTTTTAGTTCTCAGTGTTGCATTTCATACAATCAATATCATATAATCAAAATCATACAATTACAATATTATTTTAGAAGCTTTTTAGTCAGGCACTCCATCTGGATGCCATTGAATTGGCCTCTGGTAATAAGTTGGTGTTATTTTTGATCATTAATTGTTATTTATACCCCATATTAAAACAGGTTTATGTAATTTTATTCTTTTATTTCTGAAATACTGCAAGATTACAAATATTTTGTCCAGGGGTGATGCAAAGAAACTAGTGCATTCATTTGCCACTTCAAGGCTGAACTTGTCATGGTTTTATCTGAGTTTTCATTGGTCTAATTTCCATTCTTGTGTTCTAGGTATTTTTGATTGTATTTGAGTTCTTTGATATTTCTTGTTTGACCTCTTGTGTCAGTCTCCTTTTCCCTAGCTCCCTTCTTGCCTCCACCAAGCTCCATCCTTTACCAGAGATCTGATGTTCCCTATGTTTCGAACAGAGCACTTCAATCTCAATCTGCAGGTTTACTAGTGGTTCCTAGAAGAGACACCGAGTCTACTTTTAAGACTAGAGTTAAAACTTTTGTTTTAACATAAAGCTTATAGTTGAAGTGACTTAGGTTATCCTGAACTGTCTATATTTTTATGCTGCTATAGGCTTAGACTCCTTGAGGACATAGAGGCGACTTTTCCCCACTCTACTTCTATTCTCTAATGTTGCATTATATGTTAGTTCAACTTCTAGCCATATACCCTCACTGCTTTTTTTCATCATAGCAGCTACATCTGGCCTGGTGCTCTGTTTAGCCATAACACCATCCAGGGGATGCAAGTTCCACAAAATCAATGACTCGATGCGATCAGCTGAGTACCCATAAACTGCAAAGTCTCAGTATGACTTAATGATTATCTCTGTAAACTTATCTGATATGATGTGTTGTTATTAGTGCTGCGCCGATACTGATACCAGTATCGGGCAGGGCCCCGATCCAGCACTAAAATGGGGGTATCGGTAAAGGCGAATACCAACAAATACCGATACCATTTTGAGAGCCAAAAGTTTATTCAACTATTGTCACCCATTCCAGATAGGCAATAAAAAGTTCTGCTGGATTCACTTTGTATTAGTTTCGCAAAGGTAGGCAACAGCTTGACAAAGCCATGATGGCAATTATTTTACATCCAAATAGTATGCAGTTCTTCATATATAAACACACATCAATTTCAAACAGATGGTATCAGTATGGTATCGGTACTGGCCAATACTGCACACCCAGGTATTGGGAATCGGTATCCGAGCCGAAAAATGGCATCAGCAAAACACTAGTTGTTATAAGGCACTTTAAAAGTAAGATAACAGAAGTGAATTAAGAGGCAACATGGAGTTATGTTCATAAAAAGTGAGGCAGTATATAAAGTATTACAATATAAACTCAGCAAAAAAACAATGCTTAATATATTTAGATTTGCATGTTGTATTGTAAGCTTACTTTTAGACTAAAAAAGAAGAATTCTACATCAAAGCTGAAACATCTCAAAATTGGAACTTTAACTTAAATGAATTGAAAACCATGCTGCCAAAAAACATTTACAAGTTCCTGACAGAGAGATATCTAGATGTTTTAGAAATGACTTTTTGTACCTAATCTTCCAGTGATATTTAATGGTGGAAGAAACATTGGGTTACTGTAGCATTAAAATTCTTTCATGTAAGGTATGGCAGAAATACTTTTCTACATAAAAATATATCCTTCTATCATCTGAACATCTGTGGAGCTTTAAATAAATACAACATACATAAGAGACATGCCTGAAACACTAAAAGAAAAAAAGACCAATATCTGCATTTTCTTTTCTGCCTCATGGGTACTTTTTAAAACAACAAAAAAATATTCTTATCTTTGCCCAAAAACAAAAGAAAAAATGTTTATTGCAGAAACTCTCAGCAGCCCAGTAATCTTTAATTTCAAAATCATATTGTACTGTAATATTGGCAGTAAGAACTGAAATTGATGTTTGGATCATTGCATTTCAAGAATCCTAGATGTCTGTAAAACCCTTAACTTAACATTTCCTCCATTTATATAATTAAACAATAGACATTTTGGAACGTATTCTCAAATCAACTTTGGAACTATAAAGAAACTTAAAAAGATTTATTTTGCACTGTGGTCTTTTGCCATGATTACCCCAATTAGTTGTGTGCCTCACAATGATTCCATTTAACATGGGATTTGATGGGGTTTTGTTCTGTGAAAACAGCTGGTTATGTACACTATATTGCCAAAAGTATTTGCTCACCTGCCTTGACTCACATATGAGCTTAAGTGACATCCCGTTCCTAATCCATAGGGTTCAATATGACGTCGGTCCACCCTTTGCAGCTAGAACAGCTTCAACTCTTCTGGGAAGGCTGTCCACAAGGTTTAGGAGTGTGTTTATGGGAATTTTTGACCATTCTTCCAGAAGCGCATTTGTGAGGTCGCACACTGATGTTGGACGAGAAGGCCTGGCTCTCAGTCTCCGCTCTAATTCATCCCAAAGGTGTTCTATCGGGTTGAGGTCAGGACTCTGTGCAGGCCAGTCAAGTTCATCCACACCAGACTCTGTCATCCATGTCTTTATGGACCTTGCTTTGTGCACTGGTGCACAGTCATGTTGGAAGAGGAAGGGGCCAGCTCCAAACTGTTCCCACAAAGTTGGGAGCATGGAATTGTCCAAAATGTCTTGGTATGCTGAAGCATTCAGAGTTCCTTTCACTGGAACTAAGGGGCCAAGCCCAGCTCCTGAAAAACAACCTCACACCATAATCCCCCCTCCACCAAACTTTACACTTGGCACAATGCAGTCAGACAAGTACCGTTCTCCTGGCAACCGCCAAACCCAGACCCGTCCATCAGATTGCCAGATGGAGAAGCGCGATTCGTCACTCCAGAGAACGCATCTCCACTGCTCTAGAGTCCAGTGGCGGCGTGCTTTACACCACCGCATCCGACGCTTTGCATTGCACTTGGTGATGTATGGCTTGGATGCAGCTGCTCGACCATGGAAACCCATTCCATGAAGCTCTCTGCGCACTGTTCTTGAGCTAATCTGAAGGCCACATGAAGTTTGGAGGTCTGTAGTGATTGACTCTGCAGAAAGTTGGCGACCTCTTCGCACTATGCGCGTCAGCATCCGCTGACCCCGCTCCGTCAGTTTACGTGGCCTACCACTTCGTGGCTGAGTTGCTGTCGTTCCCAAACACTTCCATTTTCTTATAATACAGCTGACAGTTGACTGTGGAATATTTAGGAGCGAGGAAATTTCACGACTGGATTTGTTGCACAGGTGGCATCCTATCACAGTTCCACGCTGGAATTCACTGAGCTCCTGAGAGCGACCCATTCTTTCACAAATGTTTGTAAAAACAGTCTGCATGCCTAGGTGCTTGAATTTATACACCTGTGGCCATGGAAGTGATTGGAACACCTGATTCCAATAATTTGGATGGGTGAGCAAATACTTTTGGCAATATAGTGTATTTCAGGAGACCAACAGAGCACAGAGTTATCTTGCCAGCAAAACTGCTGTGTGCAATTCTCACTCTGCATCATTGCACTGGTGTTTAGAAAGTGAATCCCATGTGTCATAACTGAACACTTATTTTTTTACTTACTGTGCACCTATACTATATTGCGATTACTTAGGACTCAGTCCCTTCTATCTGTCACTAGCTGTGTAAGTGCTTCAGAAAACACTAGGGATCCTCTGTAGTATAGAATCATGAACCCTCTGGGGTTTGCATTTTACTAAGGTTAATTGAAAACAGACAAAAAAATAAATAAATACAAGCAGACCATCTCGTGTCTGCTGTTTAAGATTCACTCCCACATAAACCCTCTAAAGTAAGAAGATTGCAGAAGAGTGATGGCAAACTCACTGTGCTACTGTGCTAGCTGGAGCCAGTTCACTTTCTCGCTCTGATTCCAGCTCTAGGTCGTCAGCAAAGCTGCAGTTTCTTGGGAGTTGGAAGGAGGACTGGGTATCTATAAGGCTGGGGCCTTTTTTCACTGCAAGATTACACAAAAACAAATGAAACTAAAAACATGATTTATGCAAAATATCCTGCACTCACATTTTTTTATTATTTTTTATTAAGTTACATGTAGGTTTTTCTGTAAATATTTTATTCAAAATTTTGGAAAAGCAGAGCTTTGAATGTTGCACCACTTGAAATTAAAATAACATGTGATTTCATTTGCAAAAAGAAGTTACTTGAAAACATGAAAAAAATAAATGCTTAAGGAAATATAGAATGTATAGAAATTCTTAATTGGTATGAAAAAGTTCTGTTCATTGTCAAAAAATTATAGAGCTCTGATTAGCATTTTCCCAAAATTGTGATTAAGAAAAGCTCAAATTCAAAAAGTGATATCCACAGAGGTGCAACTGTGTCCTTTGTTTGTTTCATAATCCAATTGCTCTAATGTATATCTATCTTGTCTTTCAATGCCATGCAAAGATTCACAGCTTTAGAAAATAATAA